TTTAACCAACTTCTTTCTCCCTAAACAAGCTCCTACTTTTGAATTTTGATCTCAGTTATTGGTGTCCAATCACCCAAGAGTTCTTTCTTGACTACTCTCTTTTCAGTCTGCACAACTAAATACAATCAATAACCACATCATAACCATTTACCTTATATGTAGTTTTAAAGGATGATAAAACAGGACATTGTAGGTTAGGACCTTAACCCAGGTTCTAGCACAATGAAAACTCTCAAGAAATGTTGGCTATTGTTTTTACTAATATATAAGCAATGACAATAGCCACTAGCACAACAGAGACACACTGACTGTGCCACTGCAGACCATGGCTATTAATTAGATGCTGGATCTTTTTAATTAATGTCCCCATTGTGTCCTTTTTTCTTTTTTCTTTCATATTTCCATATTTTTGCTCTGTATTTAGTGAGACTTCTTCAACTTAACCGTCTATCCTTCCTTTTACTTTTGTTTTAACTAATATTTTTAATTTGTAAAAGCATTTGAATTACTGTTTCCTTTCTGTCTTTGGGTTTAATTTCTTTTAAAATATTTCTAAGAACATTTTGTGAAGGTGCCCTTAGAAAAGACACTTTCTGTTCTGTGCTCTGAATAATTTCTGTTTTCCACATCATCTATTTTTTTGTTTGTTCACCTTTCATAACTTTGGTTTCCCTCATGCCTAGTTATCCTTGGTTGTTCCTTTGTATTCAAGATGGAATATACTAATTATTATAGTGGGCATGTTAATTACCAGAGCTAGAGTGAGTGCCTTTTGCTGTTGTCTAAAAGTATGTTTGTTTCCTGACCTCTAATTCTTGATAGGAAACATGAGTAGGTGATTTTGTTTGGTTTATTTCTCTTTATCTTGAACCCTATGCCTAGAAGAGTATCTGGCACATAATAAGGACTCCCAAAATAAAAGCACATTGTTATTGAAGGGCTTTTCCTATTGTAGTTGGCAAGATTGTTAGTGGACTCTAAAGAGACTTCTAATGAAACAAAGACACTAACCTAGTCCTGGGAAAGAAAGAGAAATATAGTTTAAGTATAGTTAACCCTTCAAGCCAATGTTCTTTTATTTTCTTCTATTTTTATTATAGAAACTTCCCAAAATCAAATTAAAACAGAAAGGGGCAATGCTGATCTGATAGCTCACACCCTCTGCATTAAGAATTAGATATGAATCCTGAATCCTGATTCCATTTCTATTAGTGAGATCCTGAGATACATCCCTTAACTCTCTAAATCTTAGTTTGTCTACATATAGAGGCCATAAATCTTATCTGCTTGCTTCCCAAGGTTTTGTGGGAATTTAAGTAAATATCTTATATTTCAGTCACCTTAGAAACAATTCATTTTACAAATACACTTTACCAGGCTTCATTTTTAAACTCATGGTTGTACCATAGCCTATGTTTACAAGTGTTCCTCCCAAAAAAGCCTGTGGTAACACATTGCGTTAACTGGCACATATCAGAGAATGTGTTCCTGGGTTGTCAGACATGAATCAAGACTTGATTGAATCAAATTCTCAGGTACTAATCTTTTAATCTTAGCACTCTGTTGATGTCACCCCTCTATGGCCTTCTGTTTGCTTCTAGAGAAGTCTAAAGTAAGCCTGATTTTTTTGCTTCTCTCAAAGTTAGCTTGTTACTGTCTTTTTAAATTTTCTTCATGGATACTTCTCAGCTCTGCTTTATTTTGTTTTTATTTCTCTTCATAATTCAAAAACTTACCATGGTGGAATGATATGTGATATTTTCTATTAACATTTCCTGAAACATGTTTAGCCCTTTTCAGTCTGCACACTTTGGTGGTTTCTTTTAGTTCAAGAAAGTTTTCTTACAATTACTCTGGTTTCTTTTCCAATTCCTAGGTTGGCTTTCCATTTTATGAACCCCGTATCTTTTCTCTGTGAGTATTCGTCTCTTGGTATATTTCTTCTTTTTACTGGAAGAGCTGCTGAAGTGTATCACTCTCATCTGTGTGGAATTTTATTCAATACCCATCTTGTCCTTTATAATCTCTAGTACAGATTTTAATTCTACAATTGCAAATTTTTTATCCTTTTTATCTCACTTGGCCCTTTTTTATCCTGGATTTCTTTCTAAATTATTCTACTGCTTTTATCTTATTATTTTGTCTTTTTCAGGCCACTTTTTCTTGGACTGCTTCAGGGTATCAGATTTCTAAAATGTCCTTCTGTTAGTAAATAACTTTAAGAAGAATGCTTTTCCATGGAATGCTAAATATCCTGGACACTTCTCTTTTTCAAACATATAGTTCTTTCATTGTTTTGTTTTTTTTTTTTTTCTTTTTTCCTTTTCATCTGGAAAGAGAGCCATTCATACTTGATGTTTACAATTAGATAACACAGATTCTTTGGCTTTGTTCTCTGACTTTTGTAACCTGTTAAATACCCTGGAAGGAAGGTAATTAGTAACTCCTAGAATCGGTTAAGCATTCTTCTTAGGATCATTGATTCTGTGATATTCTACATCAGTGGTATACATGAAAACCTACAATTCCTAAGACACACTTCTATGGAGGTACTTCCATTTCTTACACTAAAGGAAGGCTTTACTAAGGGGGTGGTGTTTTCAAGATTTAATGTGTCAGTATTCCCTTGTTTTCTGGAAGTGGCAGTCCCAAGACTGATGCAGAAAGTAACAGGGGTAGAAAAGAGGGGAGAGAGGGGAAAAAGGCAATGTTATAGTCCATTTGGAAAGTCCTCTCTGTGCAGTGAAAATGGAGAGAAGATGACTAGTTTTAGTTAAGAGTCAAAAATTAGGAGGAAGGATATAGTGTTTTCCTTTCTTTAATATTTTAAATTTTTAACTTCAATTCTTTTTTTTTCTTAGAAATGGGGTCTCACTCTGTCACCTAGGCTGGAGTGCAGAGGGGTGATCATAGTTCATTGTAGCCTTAAAATCCTGGGCTCACATGGTCTTCCCACCTCAGCCTTCTGAGTAGCTGGGACTACAAATATGAACCACCCCACCTGGCTAATTTTTTAAAAATTTTTTTGTAGAGAGGGGGTCTTGCCATGTTGCCCAGGTTGGTCTCGAACCCCTGGCCTCAAGTGATCCTCCCGCCTTCACATCCCAAAATGCTGGGATTACAGGAATAAGCTACCACCCCCAACCCCGTCTTCTTTCTGATGAAAAGTGCTGTTTTATTTCATGAGTCAATGCATAAGTTAGCCAGTCAGGCCCCAGGAAATCAGAGTTAATGAAAATATCTCCCAAATTATCGGTTTGGTTGTTGGTTATTTAAAGTAACCAAAAAGGGGAACTAGGAGCGTAGCTTTTCTATGAAATAATGAGACAATTCTATGTTTCTGTCTTTTACCCCTGCTGTAGTTCTAAGGAAAAGCAGGTCATGAGGAAGGTTTTTCTGGAGCATTTTGACCAACTACTTTTCTTCCTTCTACTACATGATAAGATTCTGGACAAGAACAAAGGCCTAGACTTTTCCTACTTTTTTCTGTCTCACATGCAACTTTCCAGCCCATTCCCCTTTATTCATACCATTCTCTGTTTGCCCTCCTGTTTCAGTTCAAAGTGAGGCCGAATACTTAGTGGTTATTCCCAATCGCAATGTTCTATATCAAATAAGAAAAATGGTATGTCTGATTAATAATGTTTTAAAACACAATAGCAAAAATCTCACATAGAATTCTAACTAAACTGTTAGAGTTACCATTAATGATCACAGCAATTATTAATGTTTTCATGTTCATAACCAGCCTGAGACTTGGTTTTCTGAGCAGAAGGCATCTCAGAGTTTGTAAACTTGCCACGAAGTCACAGACTCTGACCGCCAGCAGGGTCCTCGTGAGTCATGAGTTCCGCCATGGCCCAGAGTGCCAAAATGTAGTTCTTCTCCACACTTTTCCACAGGAACTGGGGGTGCCTCAGCCGTTGGAAAGCTATCTTGTACTCTGTCCACACTCAATAAATGCTGCTTAATAATGACAATGAGAATATGTGTTCCATCTCACTTTTCTCCTGAACACCTCTATTTAGGGAGCCACAAATATTTCGCCAAGTCATTTATTCCATTGCCCGATTGGCTGCAGAGTCAAAAAAATTTTCCTACTGTCTCCCTTGAATGTTTCCATTTTCTTTTTGCAGCTCAGCCCGTTCCCCCTTGTCTTGTGTGTGGATACTACCCTAAACTATGTTGGTGGTTAGGAAGTCATGCTGGGAGGACATTGCCTCAAATTTCTCGTTTCCAGGTAGTCAAATCCAAGAATATGTTCCTGGATTCTAGGTATAAGCTGAACTTGATTTGCAACCATTCATTATGAGAAAAAGAAATTCTCTACTTATTTACTTTTAAATGTTGGAAACTCTGCCAAGGCAGAGGACTGAGGAGCTGCAGAGTTGTGTGGAGCGGCCAGGGGCAGAGGCCGCCCGACTGTGGTTGCAGGATGGCCGCTGTCCCTGCTAATAACTGAGGGATCTGCAGGAATGATTAGCTGAGTTTCCAAAGCCCCTTCTTCCCAGGGTGTGCTCCTCAGAGTCCAACTACAGTGTCATGTGTCTGTGCACATGATCCCACAGAGATGGGTGTAAGTGTATATAGCCTTGTGTGTGTAAGTACAACACACCAGCAATTTCTGTTTTAGAGAGGCACTAAAATGTCAGTTAGGATCTGTTTTATCTAGTTGCTCCTGTGCTTACTTCCCCAGCATGAGTCCTTCCTCTTGGAGCTGTGAGTGGGATCAGCCTTATGAGATGTCTGAGTTACAAACTATTCACTTTTTTTTTTTTTTTTTTTTTTTGAGACGGAGTCTCACCCTGTCGCCCAGGCTGGAGTGCAGTGGCTGGATCTCAGCTCACTGCAAGCTCCGCCTCCCGGGTTTACGCCATTCTCCTGCCTCAGCCTCCCGAGTAGCTGGGACTACAGGCACCCGCCACCTCGCCCAGCTAGTTTTTTTGTATTTTTTAGTAGAGACGGGGTTTCACCATGTTAGCCAGGATGGTCTCGCTCTCCTGACCTCGTGATCCACCCGTCTCGGCCTCCCAAAGTGCTGGGATTACAGGCTTGAGCCACCGCGCCCGGCCACTATTCACCTTTGACACGACCCCAAAAGCCCTCCCTTCCCAAAGCAACTACCTCACTGCAAGAAATATCTGCTAAAAAAATTTTAGTCTTCTAGTTTTAAGGAGTGATCTCTCAACCTGACGGTCAACCTGACATTAAAATTCAGAGATATTCCTATTGACCTGTATTAACTCCTGCGGTAGAGGCTAGGAAGACAGCCCTGAATAAAACAGTCAACCTCCCCTTTTCTGCAGGAAGAAGGCAAACATTAACAGAATAGGGAGCTCATGGAGTCAGCACTCCCGGAGACAAGACAGCCAGATTTTCCTTAAAAAGTGACCCAAGGGCTGAAAACCAAAGGAGAAGTAGGATTTTTCTCAACAACAACATCTTGAGGCATAATAATAAGTAAAAAACAACGCATTGAATGTGATTAAAGCTTATTTTTTTCCATAGCAATTACAACAAATACAATCTAGTCTGAATTTGACACCGACCCCTCCCTCCCACTGCCACTACCATGAAGCCAGTGGGGTTGTAATCGTAGTTCCCACTGCACAGGCTTTGAGAAGGCTTCAGTGAAATACCCATGGTCACACAGCTACTCAGTAAAAGAATACAAAATAATAAATGAGCCTTCCAATTCCAACTCCAGGAAACTTCTGAGCACAGCCTTCAGAGAAATTGGCTGGGGAGTAGAGGTAAGAGGAGAGATTAGCCTAACCTCAGATGCCCAACTTCAGCAGTAGAACTCGGTTTTATAAATAAATGCAGGATTTAATGGAAAGACTTCAGAGACATATCCAAGCTCAAATCCCAGCTCTGCCAGTGATTAGCTCTAACCTTGGGCAAATAATTCAACCCAACTATAATATGTGACTCCTTCCAAGCTAGCAGGAAGATTAAATGAGCTACTAGAAGACATACAACTAGTACCTGATACCTTACATGTTCTAATAAATTTGTCTTCTTTTTCCTGTAACCCAAGAAAAGAAGTAAAGCAAAAATGTCGCTTCACAAGAGAGGCACTAGAAAAAATACTCCAAATGGCCAGCCGGCTGTGGAGCCCTCACGACCAAGAGGGAGGTGCAAATATTAATAATACTGGGAGGCAGGAGGGCACCCATGGATGATGCCTGCTCTCCCCCTGATTCAGCTCCAAGACATAGGGAGAGTCATTCACACTACAGCAGAAGGAAACCTAGATAGGATGTGTTCTAGAGGAAACAGGAGCCAAAAAATAAGGAAGAGAAATTGGGCAACTAGATGAAATACTTGGATGTAGGACCCTCTTCTGTGCTCTTCCTTGATACCTTGGCTCTGTTTGCACCTCATATGCCCTGTGACCTATGTATGTGACTGCCATGATTGTCCTTTTTGACAGATAAAAAGATTAAAGGCAGATTTAGGTCCCTCCCAGAGTACACGTTTATCTCAACATGAAGTGCATTTCTGGTCCAATTTCTGCTTCCAGGTTGCTCTGCTCCATACACTTTTTTGCTCCAACTTTAACTTGTGCTACTTTGTAATAATTTATGTTCCTTTATAAGACTCCTGAAATCTCTTTATGAAAAGATAGGTATAAGTGAAGAAATGCAAGGCAAATAAGTAAACATTAGATTTAAAAAGTTGTTTTTAACATTCCCACTCGCCAGCCCTCAGGCTGTTTCTAAATTCAGCTTCTGAAGCTCTAAACATCTACTATTGTTCAGGGCTGTTACGGCATTCCAAGCAAAGTTTCCTTTAAATAAGAAAACCCTATAAAAATGCCCAAGTTAAAACCAACAAACAAGATCTTGTCCTTAGATTGTCACTGCTGCCCTGTGTTGGGTCTTCACTGCAGCGAGGCGTGGGTCATTCTTAGCTGCTTTACTTCAGAATCACCCCCAGCCCCATTCTTCTGGGGCCACCTCTTCCATGAAGGCTGGAAAAACAAAAAGCACCTTTTCCCAGCTTTCACTGTAGGTAGCAAGCCCATGAGACCCATCGTTTCCTGATAAAAGTACAGAAAGTGCCAGCAATTTTCTTTTTCTCCTGACTTGGACACAGATGAGATGGCTAGAGCTGGAGCAGTCACCTTTTGACACTGAGGCAATAAGCCATCATGCTGAGAATGGCAGAGCAAAAAGATGAAAACAGCAGCTTTTGGACTGTCTGGCTCCAAGTGTATTGTTAACTGAGACATATAAGCCTCTGCATGACTAAGTTAGTATTAGTCGAGTTTCTATTCCTCGAAGCTAAAAGGCTTCTCAACTAAGACATATGTAAATATAGATAGAGATTAGGTATAGATATAGATGTAGACATAGATATAGATATAGATATAGTTATCCATAGATAGATTTATCCCTAGAAAATCATTCTTTTTCAGTGCAGGCATGTTTAAGAAAATACAGCTTAATTGCTCTACACAGAATGAATCTATCGACTAAATTGTCGTCTGAACCCAAATGTACATGCATAGTGTCTCCAGGTTATTTTCCTTAACATGTTGTACAAAATAACACATCTAAATCCACAGCAATAATAGGGAGACAGACACAACAAACTCCATGCCAACTCATTTTCCCTGAAGATACAATGTAACTGCATGTGAATAATTATCCCTAAATCTAGAAAGAATCTTGAGTAGGATGAGGTTAAAGTATGAGAACAAGGGAGAACCTCAGATTAGTATAAGAATAAATAGCTTTCAATCCCAAAGCAACTCTATTTCAAACAAGAAAATTAGAAATGTGTTCTTATTTTTATCACTGCCATTCTCAAAGCCCAATAGATTGATGATGCAAACAACTTGGAAGACTTTTTTTATCCAAACGACTCCTGGTTAAGCCAGACTGGCAGACCCACATGTCCATCAGTTGCTCCGTCCCCTTCTCTCTATTTGTTCCCTTGATGCGGGGGGAGGTGCTTTCTCCTGTTCACACTGTCCTGGCACTGAATTTCTGGATCCATTTCCCAACTGACATCTGCCTCTGCCCTGCTCCTCTGACTGTTGAGAACATCCTGATTCACCTTCTGGTATTTTGGACCTCAGCTCTCTTCTAATTTATGAGCTCAGTTACTCTTCCAGTGTGACAGTCTCCTAGAACAAATTGCAGTCCCAGCTCAGCTGGACTGAGATAAGGAGGAACTCCAGCCCAACTCCAAAAGAAAAGCTCCGTTTCCCCTCCATCCCCAGTAACAGGATTTCAGACAAAGACAATGAAGCCAGAGGTGAAAGGGTAAAGAATAGAAGCCACATCACTTTGCCCCGGTCATAAATTACCTGTTTTCATCTGTGGAACCATCCTCGTGGAGGGAAGGGAAGACAGTGTACCATGCTGAACACAGGTGAGACCATCGTGAATTGAAGAGGTTTCCTGAAATGGAAAGATGAGGACATATATGGTAAATGGAGGCTTCTGGGTCTTTTCTGAAGGAAATTATCGAACCACAGGGACAGAAAAAAACTGGTTATATGAAGTTGACCTTTTGATCATGATGAGTTTTAGAAGCAACCCTATGTTCCTCTCCCCTTCTATGCCATCGCCACTTAGTGAGGCTCTAGCAGTGATGACAGATCAACTCTCCCCATAATTGATATCATGGAATGTCATTAGTTACAGGGATTGGGATTCAATAAAGTTAAAGCAGGCTTAGGAGATCCTGTTTGAGGAATTTAATATATGGGGCCTTGTATGCACTCCTAAGTACTTTGACCAAACTGAAAATATGTTCTAAAGAGGACAGTTTCCAAACTGTGCAGCAAAGAGGGCAGAGTCTACCTGATGGAACTGTGTTAGTTAGATAGAAATACTAGTCATTAGGGGTATGAATGAGTAAATCTGTCTATACGTTTCCATGCAAATAGAGATTGGGAAGGAGCCATAGTCACCTGCCACCACCCTTTCCTCACTGAACCCTGATTTTGTTCATGTTCACCTTGTATGGCAGGGCAGTCTGGAACTCTTTGCTGCCACAGGGGGAGAATGTTGATCGATCCAGGCTAACTATGGTAATTCTGTATCCTAGACCAGTGGTTCACCCAGGAATGGACATTTTGCACAATTTTGGTCAGTGAGGTGAAGTCTGGAACTTCTGGAGTAGTGTTTTCAGCCCTTAAGAAAATGGAAATAAGAAAAATACCAATTTTTCTGTCTCTAAATGTCACCGTGTGAGGATATGATACTGGGAACAGCCATCTTGTGATCTTGAAGCAAAGGCCAAGATGATTGCAGAGATGGTTGACATCATTGAGCTCCTGACTGAACTTCCCTGGAATTTCCTGGTGCCTAGACTTCCTGTCGGGTAAGACCAGATGCACCTTTATTTATTAAGCCACTTTTAGCTAGGTTTTTTGTTATTGTTGTTGCTTGCAGCAGAATGCATCCTAGGTGATACAAAAATCATACCTACAGGCAAAGAGTCTACAGATTATTTGCTTTGGGTGAAGAAGGAGTAACTGAGACTCAGAGGGAAGAAACACTTGCCCAAATTATAGAAGGCAGACCTTCTGGCTGCACTACTGTGTGTTTGCCGCTCTACCACACTTGTAAAGGGAACTGCTTGTTCATGTTAAGGCCATCAGCATTCACTCTCATTTGAATGATTTTCTTATAATGATTAAGGATGCCATTTTAAGTAAAATATTTAGCTTGCCTAACCAGGTAATGGGAGATCTTTAGCCACAAGGTTAGAAACTAGACTCAACCTTGTAATTTATTGCCTACAACTATAAGCCAAGCCGCTGTCAGAGAACTGAGAAAAAGAATAAACAATGAGACAGCGGCAGCCTGGTCTTTCAACGATAGATGGCAAGGCTAGATATGGCCAACGATGACACCAACCCATAAATATTCTATATTTAACCTACAGTTTTAAAGTACTTTGATTGTCATTATTGATGTGTGGACACCCTCAGGGTCTTAAATTCTAAATCCCTTATCTTGTACTGCCATGTTATTAGGAAAAAGGGAAAGTGCTTTAAAAAAAACAAAAAACAACAACAAAAAAAAACCAAAACCTCCATTTTGCATAGCTTCTTAGACTTTGGCCTCGCTGGTATTTGCATTCTGAGTGTAACAGAGTTGATGCATCTCTAATATGACAGGAGAATCCCAGCACTGAGCTATTCCTGGGGAAAAGAGACTCAGTTTCTGAGTGCAAGGAGGACTGTGTGTCTAGTCAGGATGAGGTGCAGATAAAGGGAGTTCTTAAATCAAAATGTTTCAAAGTCTTGCAACTAGTTATTTTAAAAATCCGTTATCAATAAGTCATAACATACTCTTTATAATGCCAGGGCTACCATCCTTGCCAAAAAGACTTTTCTGGAGACAGTTTTCTCTCCCCTGTAGCATCCTGAACTCTACTGAAGACGCGAATTCATGTTGATGGATCACCATTATTGAAGGATGCTGGCATGATTCCCATGTGCTCCCCACAAAGAATCATTACTCCAACGTAAAAAATAAATTCAAACTGAAATGTTCTCTGTGTCTGGAAAAGCTGCCATGTTTGGATCATAGCAGCCCCACCATGGCAAAGACGTCAGCAGTAGAATCATTTGATCCCAGGGCCTAGTTCCTCTAGGAGGACAGCAATGTTACCACTGTTTATATCTTCTACCGCCACTCTGTCACGTGGAACCAAAGCCACACAGAGTTAATCTTGTGCTTGGAAGATAGTCTTCCCTCAAGCAGTGATAATACTTGCATTTTCTTAACTCTCTAAAACATAAGATCTTCTTGAAACTTTCCTGAGAACTTCTTATGGACTGTGCGGTGGCAACAACCTCAGTATTAACCATCTCATTCATTGGTTGTACGTATTTCAGAGGGTGGCCTCTCTAGTTCCAATGTCATTTCTGTCTTATTAACTCTTTCTTAGATGTTTTCCATTGACAGATATTTGTCCAGTAGCCCACAGGATTATTTTCCAGTGTATTGAAAACCCTTATCGAAGAAGTCCAGATGGGAATGAAAATAGAACTTGAGGATCAGGTGTCTGTGGCAGACTTGGTGTTTTGAAAGCCCAACTCACATCTTAGACAAGAGAATTTCCTTTCCGCTTTTAGTTGTGCGCTGAGTGAAAATGAAAGAAGTGTGTCTGGGGAGGCATGTCCTCATTTAGACACTTATAAGATCTCATCTCATTTTAGTAAAATTTACATGCATGACTAGTAATTAAGTTTTATTAAATTAGATGTTCTCTTTTTCATTTAAAGATGAGTTTTAATTATATAAAACAACAATTGCTGTAAAAATGATTGCATGCATTTATTTGAGCTTTGAGTGCCCTCTACTGGAACAAGAGAAAAAGTAAAAAATCAATACTACCTTGATCCTGCACGGTTCTGTTTTAAGTACTAAGATACTATTATTAGGAAAACAAAAATAACAGTAAGAACTCAACGTATCTCACTCACAGTGATTTAATAGTAATAAAATATTTTTCTAAAAATTACTTTAAAGCAGACCTAACGTGCGCATTTTGTGGGTTTTACATTTATGGAAAGTCCTGGGTGATACTGACAAGAAGCATCTCTTTAGCTGGTTGGGCTGCTCTTTTATTTCCAATGGCTGCTTGTCTCCATGAGTTTTGGGTTTATAGCCATAGCTTCTGGAACAAGGCTGGACTCTGGATTCGTATTTTTTTTTCTAAGCCTTTTCCTTCCAAAACCACGGGTGATTTCAACTTTGATTTGGATGAGGCACTTCACTTCCCAACTTCAGTCATTTGATCCCCTCTGCTCTGACCACTTTCCCCCCTCTCTGCTGTAACTTCATTTGCAGCCATCCCTTGGCCTTTCCGCTCCACCTCTGACTTCCTGTATTCTGCTGTGATCTTCCCTGTGTGGACCGCCAGGTTCCCTCTTTCCATTGTCACCGCCATGTCTTCATAGCTGCTCTGCTCACTGTCAATGTGCCCAAGCCTAATCGCCTTCCCTTGTCTCTATTGAATCAGACTCTCAGTCCCTTCTTATTTCGATGTATTTCCTAACTTGTCTGGACTTCATGGTTTATTATTTCCACCACACTGTCATGAACACACTCATTTCCACCAACCCTTTGATCTTCTGCTGTATAAGCCTTGCAAATAGTCTGTTCTACAACAGCCTAGTGATTCATTCTGACCGACTCTGATTTCTAAGCTGTGAAGCACTGCTGAAGGAAGTCGTTTTGCTTTGCTCACTGGGAAATGACAAATATTCTATGGCTTTCAGGTGAGACCTCGGGAACACTCAAGAATTTTTTTTTTTCCTTTTCTTTTCTGCTGTTTGCTTGTCTTTCAAATCCCTCAAGGATTATTCAAACCTTGACTACTTTCTTCATTCTTAAGACTTGCTTTGCTTCTCAAGTTTTGGGGAAAAAATGGAGACTACTGCATCCTTAACTTACTTACCCTGAACTTTCAAATGTGTCCTTTTTTTCTTCAACTTTTATTTTAAGTTCTGTCGTACATGTGCAGGATGTGCAGGTTTGTTACCTAGGTAAATGTGTGTCATGGTGGTTTGCTGCACAGACCAACCCAATCACCTAGGTATTAGCCAAATGTGTCTTTATCTCTATTTATTCTTCCTTTCTGCCACAGGAGATTAGTCTCTTCCCCATTTGCTTTTGATTCTATTCCTTCCTAGCCCTTCTTAGATTTTGTTGCAACAGTTTGTTAAATTTTTCTCTCTCTTCCCAGGCAATTCTCTCTTGAATTCAGAGTATAAACATTCCAGATTCTCCTGAAATGCCCCAGAAAAGGTTATCTCTCTCCCAGTCTTGATCTCCCACAAACTACTGCTCCACATTTTCCTTGTTTCACTGTGAAGCTTTTAGAAAGAGTAGCCTGCACTCCTTGCTGTTGCTTCTTGTCAACCACTTCAGCTTCCACACAACCCAGTTAGGGTTTATTTTTCTATCACTAACCAGAAACGGCTCCCAATAAAAGTATCTAGAGAAGTCTTGGTACCATCAGATTCCCAGGATTATCTGCTGTGCTGCTCAGCCATCCCTAGCTGATGCTCCAGAACCCAGGACAGCTACTTATGCTCCAATTCATTGTTGTGGCAGCAGGCAAAAGAAAATGACAAGGAAAGGGATATCCCTTCTCTTGAAGGACATGTACCAGAAGGTACATGTTGCATCTCATTGGCTTGAATGTAGTCACATGTCTAACCTAGGTGCAAGGGAAGTCCTTATTCTAGTTGGCTATCTGTGTAGCCAAAAATTGGAGGTTCCATTTCTAAGAAAACTGAGAGTTGGGTATTTGAAATTTTATATACTAAATGCTAACCAAAGATCCAAAGAAACTAATGAGACTGAAGTTTTAAAAATGCATATTTTGGTATAACTTTAAGGAATTTTGATGTGATATTTTGTGCAATAACTGTTGTTGGAAAATTATTGATGTTTTGTACACTAATATATGCTAAATATTTTATGAACATGTAAAGAGAAGATATACTTTTAAGTCAAAAGTAAATAAACATATACTAATTTATCATTATATTAATATTTATTTTATGTGCCTACATTTAAAAAAGTAATTTTCTTTAACAGACACAGTGTTAATAACTACAACACTGTTACATTTCCCTAAATGTTTTCCTATATTTGCAAATAATTTTTGTATAAAACAAAAGTGATTTTTCCTTCAGTTCACAATGACTCTTGAGAATATCAATATTAAGGCTTTTCTTTAATATTTTATAGTGATTGCAAGTTACATATATTTTTTATTCCACTTGAATCTCTTTCAGAGTATCAAGCCACACATCTAAATCTACATGTCTCTAATTTTCAAGAACTTTTAAGTCTGACAATATTTGTAGTAAAGAATTTGGTACGTTTTTACTTCATCTATTCTATACTTGTTTTACTTCTTACTTGCCATTAATTGACCTGGGATATTAGATCCATTTTTAAATTACATGACTAATTGTGTAATATGCCATTGTTTTTTAAAGAACCATAGTGACTTGTGCATTTATGTTTCTAATTAATATTTATAAGCAGCGTACCTCACTCTATATAGTTAATGGTTTTAATATTTACTGTAGATCTTTTTTATTCTTAAGTTGTTTTGTTTTACGTTTTCATCTCCATCAGTTGAAGTACACCTTTACTTTGTTTTATTTTAGTAAATATATTCAAGAATTCCATTTTTTTGACTACTTGCATTGTGAGAATTGTTTTTATTGCTTAACACATAATACTACTTAATTGGGGTATAAGATTCTTATAATATGTCCCAGATACATTACTTAGAAAACTAAAAGGAGTCAACTGGAATATTATTAGAACCAAGGCGGAAGTTTCACCATGTGGTTGGTTCTGATATAAGTGTGCATCTGTGGCCTTTCCTAAACCACAGAAACTGTTTGTTGAGAAATGTTAAATGGCGACACTATAGATATGATGTATTTTTTATTCTTTTTTTCTTAATTTTTCCCCCAAACTTTGCCCTCAACCATGGTATAGTGAATTTCCCATCTGTATCTTTCAATAACATCTTAGGCAAATTCTACAATGTTTTCTGTATTAACATGTATCTAGATTAAAGATTCAATCATAAACTTGATTTAAATGACTTCTTTCTTCCCAACACAGGTCTGATCCATGGCGCTAAGGATCTGAAGTGTGAAGTAAGACCTGGTTAGCTCTTTTAATTACACTCTTCCTTCTGCTCTATGTATAGCTTTTTAGGCTTGGAGCCAGCTATGCTAAAACTGCAGAAGGTGGTTCCAGGCTTAAGGGACTAGCAAACAAAAATGTTCTGATGAGGTGAAAAGTTTGGTGTGGTTCTAGAAACTGTTAAAAGCCAAATAAACTTGAGGTTAGTTTTATAAGAGTCCAAAGACATGAGATGTGTTTGAAAAGTTAGGTGGGAACCAGATCATGAAGAGTTTTGAAAGCCATAAAGAGACTTGAGATTTTATTCCAACCACAATGGAAAGCCACTGGAAACTTTTGAACAACGGAGTCACTTGTAATCTAATTTATATCTTTAAAAGGTATCTCTGGCCATTGTGAGGAGAATGGTCTGTGAGGGGTAAGAATATGAAGGAAGACTAGTTAGAGAAGGATAGCGAAGGTCCAGGCAGGAGATGTCAGTGGCCTGGATGAGAGTGGTGTCAAAAAAGATGATGATGCGTAAAATTTGAAGATCCAGACAACAGAATTTGCTGATAGATTAGACACTGCGTGGGAGAGAGAGAGAACTGAATGACTCCAGATATTTGACCTGAGCAACTTGGTGAACAGTGGTGTCTTTAACAGAGAGGGGATGTATTAGAGGAAGAAGAGCCAATATGATTAAAACAAAGACTCCAGGGTTTGGTTTTAGACATGCTTGCCTGAGATTTTTGCTACATCAAAGTGGAAATGTTAGGTAACTAGTTATGCATGTGAATCTGGAGCTCTGGCTAGAGACATAAATACAGAGCCATCAGCGTCTACATGTGGGGATATGTGGCCTATAAAGCCATGGGAACAAAAGCAATCACCAAGCAAGTGAGTGAATACATAGAAAAAAAGGGATCCAAAGGCTAAGCCTAGTGAGACGTCAATCTTTGGAGGTTGAGAAGATGAGGGGGAAGGAGCAACAGAGACTGACAGGGAAAGACCAGTACAATTGAAGCAGAACTAGTGTGGTGCCCTGGGAGCCAGATTTAGAAACACTTTATAAAGTGTTTAGAAAGTTTAGAAATACTCTAAAAAGTGTTTCAAGAATTGTGTCAATCTCTTCTTTAGCTCCTGTAATTTTTTGGCTTTATCTCAGATGGACAGATTATTGGCAAGAGCAAAAAAAAAATGTTTTTCTGTTTCAATACCAAGACTAGTTTAAGAGGTAGGCTTTTCTTTTGTATTTTCTGACAGATACTGCCTTTCTTTTGTGTGATTAGTTTTTTTCAAGATGCCACATAGACATGTTTCCCCTTCCCACATACAATGCAGCCGCATCATATGCACATGTGACTCACATGATTCCAACTCTATGCACTTGAGAAAAAGAACATGACAATGTCGTAGGTGATACCACCTGCCACTCAATGCATATGCCCAAGAATAGAGAAATAGATGAGAACCTGATGTTCTTCTGGGGTTATGCCCACAAAGCAATACTTTCTGAACCTATGGATGGATTGTGAGATTTTTTAAGATATTTTAATTGTACATAACATTTGCCTTATATGCTGAATCTAGTCTTATGTTAGATATTATTCCACCCTACCTAAGCTGGAATGTGGTGCAAGCTGCCCAGTTTTAAGTTTGTCCACACAAAGGATGTGTGGGATGTTCTTAACTCTGGTCCATTTGGGTCCTGGCAGGTCACTCTCATATCTGTTTCCTCATTATCCAGCATTTGGGCATCTTCTGGGATCTGTATGACTGAGGTGGGGTTTTCTTCCTCCAACCCTCAATTTCCTTGCCACATTAGATTTCGTGAGCTTTCTCTTGGTCCTTTACATATTCAGAACATCTATGTTGGTGGTTACTGTTTCATACACAAAACTATTTTATCAGAGTTCTGTCTTCTTCCTCAACAACAGTGTTTGTATTGAAATGACCACTTAGTCCAAGACAGTACTGTTAGTGGATCTTTTTGATTAGTTAGTTTGTTGTATTTTTATTTTTATTTTTTTGAAAACTGACATCAAACAGCTCTAGTTATTTCTAGTTTTAGCAGCAAAACAAATAATGCTTTTTGGGGAAAAAATACGTAGCCATTTAAATATGCGATATGAGGTGAGCACACCATGATCTTCTTGTGAACATAGCAAGTTGCTGAGGCACAATTTTCCCAGGTGGATAAAGGTGGGCACTGCCCCTCTCCTCTGCATCTATTTGTAGCAACAGATTTCTATTAAGGGCCAAATAGCCATCTAGAAGGAAAGAAATGAAAGCTTTGAGGTTCTGGGTTATTAGAGGATATCTGATATCATGGCATTGTTCTGGATGAGGCCAACAGATGAGACAAGGGGCTCCCAGGCGAGTTGGATTTAGGCTTAACGCCAGGGTCTTATTGTTGGTAGGGTGAGCTCTTTCTGGCAAAGTGGGTTCTGTAACCTCCCCCATCCCCCAAACCAGTGTCCAGGCACCATGATAAGCCCTGGAGAAAATGTCTGTGTCTGAGTATAAAGTGATAGAATTGTATCTTGGAATTTGGGCTGGGTGTGGTGTGAAGCACCCATAGATGAGAATAAACCTGAGTGGAAAAGCAGTTTCTTCCTCACCCTGGATTCAGAAGTAAGGCCAGCTGCTCTTCAGCGCCTTGGGGCTTGCAGCCTTGCCCTAGAATATTCGCCTGCTGACCACACCAGGCAGTGGCAAAGGCAGTAGAGAAAGCACTCCCTCAGGGGAAGTGGCCAGACTTCCCAGTTTCCTCCTCTGCAAAGGGTTATTAATCACTACGGGTCCCCTTCCACTTAGAATGCATTTGAAGCACCTGCAGAGGGAGAGCCTTCTCGCGATCAGTGGAACAAAGGCTTTGAGTCAATAGGATTTGGACACCAGAAGAAAGGAGACATTATTTTGCACCACATGCTGGTGAAGTGGGTCTTATCTTCACTGGAATTTTTTTGTAAAATTTGGAGACTGCCCATCAAGAAAGCTTCCTTGTGAACCCAAAGGTAGTGATATTTTCCTTAACAATGAGGGGGTAGAACTTATGGGAAGCAGAATGCAATTAAAACTCATATCCGATATTCTACTGCTCAACTGATGTCTTATTAAAAATGTGTGCTTGTGGCCAAGGAAGTAGGAGGTGCGCTCTCAGCTGTCAGGCAGAGAAGAGAGAGCCGTGCCCTGGATCCATGTTTAAAGGCCTGCACACTCAGATCCCCAGTCCATGAGGAGGGAGCCGTTTACATCCTCTTCCCACATGACAATCAAAATCACACCACAGACTTCATTTTTCTCACTTCTCCTACACAAGGGCTCATGGTTGGGCATAAGATAATGAGGACAGGCTCTGTCACCCACAGTGTGGCAAGATAAGATGTAGCATAGTCAGAAGAAATTATTTTAGGGCCCCCTCCCCCAGAATTTTCACTGGTGACTCAATTCATCCTCTATGTGGCTAAATGGGTGATATCAGATATAGGATCCTCAGATGCCCTGAGTTTTAATTCTGGCTCTACCACTGACTTCATTTCTGTAATAGGTATACTATCAAATGTCTCCATGCCTCTGTCTCCTTGAAGGGAAAACTCACTTCACCAAATTATAAGGAACGCCAAATTATTGTGAAGTCCTCTGTCAAGTCTAGTTGAGATTTGTATCATTCTTCAACCTGTCCAGCATCAGCCCCTCTGGTGTTTTATGAACTGTGGCTCTCCATCAGTTAAGAATTACCAAGACATAATTGCAGGAATGTTTTAAAATATTACTCATTTTTAGTAGCATTTCAGTAGCATTTATAATTACGGCTGCTAAATCTTTCTTGGCATTCATTGTGTTAAACCTCGACGGCTCTACCAAGTAATGGGTTTTGGAGTTGGACAGTAAAACTCATCCAATATCTCATAAGTTCTCACTGTACTTAATTCTGTCCTCAGGAAGACAGAATGATTAATCTTGAAGACATCAATTGTATGTTTCACATAGGAACTGAAAAATGCTTAGTGACAATGAAGATAATAGAAAATCTAAGTCACAAAAGAATGAACAGTGGGCTAATGGCATTCAACTACAGGAGAAGAAGAAGGAGAGAACAAGAAGAGGAGGAGGAGAAAAAGGAGGGGAAAGAAGAGGAGGGGGAGGAGGGAAGGGGGAGGGAGAGAAAGAACTAAGGAACACACAGGAACTAAGCAGTTACTCTGTGGACCAACAGTAAACTCAAAGGTCGAATACAGAATATTTTCCTTCTCCTTGTGCCTCTATTTGCTTATCTGGTAAACAGGGATAATAGCTCAAATCACCTGCACTTAGCAGAGATTTATATCTTTGCAGAATTTATAACTATTGTTAGTATTCACTCACTAACTACAATGCTGTAAGTGCTCATTAGGCATGTATATATATACATAGCTTTCCAGAAAAATAAAATGCCTTCATTTCTTCCTAAATGATTCAACCTATAGAATACATCTTTTTTTGGGTTATATTTTGTTTGTCTACAGTGAAGTTAGAAATGTTTATGAATTGCAGTAATGTCTGAATTTTTAAAAACAGAAACCTCTTTATGTAGTATTTACATATAGGATTATTAACTCCAATAAATTCATGAAGAATTGGTAGATAAAGATTTATGAGTTAAATATTAAAATTCCATGCAGTCACTAAATATTCCCAAAGAAATGAAAATATCTGGGAAGTATATAACCATGTTTTTTGGCCTTTTTTTTGAATATAAAAGAGGTGGTTTAAATGACGATTAAATGACATTCCCAGAGAGTTTGTGTACAAATCAAATGATAACAGATTATACATTGACTGGTGCAAATTGCTTCCTAAAGTGAATATTAATATAGGGTCACAATTCTTGAACCATAACCCATGTGGGCCATACTTTGGGATTTGTTGTACTTTTTTGAATGGTAATGTGAGCACAAACTCTGTATTGTGTAACACCCCCATCGGGAGTTGGGGGAAGCATTCAAACACATTAAATTTTCTTCAGTAAAATGTGAAAATATTCACATTAAGTGAGA